ATAAAATGGATGGGTCAGATGGGGCTTCTTGTAGGACAGTGCACCAGAGAGTGCTGGTGTTGTCCTGGTGGACAGTGCACCAGATGGGACTGATGTTGTCCAGGAGGACTGCACCAACTGGAGATAGTGGCCCTGGTTATGAAACAGGTAAAGACATCATTACACAGTTACCAGAGGTACAAAGTAGCAATGCTGGTGGAGATGAAGCAAAAGGGATGATGCTTTGGGAAAGTGTTGACAAGCTACCAGTAAAAACTGGTGGAAGCACTGATGTCTGTAGAGAGGCAGTGGGTATACAGAAAAAGATGAACCAGTATGGAATGCAGCCACAAAAAATCCGGGCAAATAAGAATCCAATTTATGCAAATTCTATGTCCTTGGTATCTACAGGCATGGTACACCTAGAAAAACAGGTGGGACATTCACTTCTGACCATCCCAGAAAAATGCCACATCCACATGACAACGGGAGGGTGCAACTCTTCTTCTTGTAACTGATTTCACCCTGAAAAGTGTCACTCATCAGTCGGTCACCCAGACTATGGGAAATAGAAGACAGGAGCCAAAACCTCTCGACAGAGGAGGTTTTTTAGTGTCAGGAAGGAAAAAAGACTGGCAAGATATGACAAAAATCCAACACCAAATGAAAACACTTTTGGAATGGAGGGGCAGTCATTGGCCTGCTCTCCAGAACAACAGATTTTAATGCCAGCAAACAAAGCCCCCTAAATCCCATAAATATAACAATATTTATCTTTGCAAAGATACGGGGTCTAAAGTCATCAACAAACAACAACACACCTTACATCAAGGGACTGCTCAGAGAGTCAAATGCAATGTTTGTGGCTTTCATAAAGACTCACATAAAGGATCACTTTGAGAGTGAAATATAGATCCCAGACTATACAGTTGACAGATTATACAGGCAACAAAGGGGGGTTGGCCTCTACATCACACAGTTGCTCATTTGATCAGAACTACTAAACCCATCAAATGATGCAGTTGAAGTTTAGGCAGAAAAGATCGATAACCAAAACCTTGTCATTGTGTTTGTATACAAGCCTACAGATGCAACTTCCCAGCAATTTCAGGAACAGCTTTTGAAAATTAACCACTATTTAGAAAAGATCCCAATTCCTGCTTCAAACATTTTGCTACTGGGGCATTTCAACTTGAGACACCTAAAATGGAGAAGTTTAGCAATTAATGTTTTAGCAGAGATCAACCCAGGAGGCAGCTCATATGAAAATTCACAAACATACATGAGCTATTAAATCTTTTCACCAAATCCACCTTAAACCAGCAAATAATAGAGCTTACAAGACTAGAAATTACACTGGACTTCATCTTCAGTAACAACGATGTAATATAACAGCATCAAAAACAATATACTCAGATCACATCATAACAGAGGTACAGACATGTATGTGCAGGGCTCTTGACCGGCAAAATCTGATCAGTTATGAGGATGCCTTCACAAAATACATCTTCAATAACAAAAACATACACTGAAAACAAATCAACCATGTCCTAAATGAAAGAAGTTGGGAAGTTATCTTAAGCAACACGGAACCGAAACTTTGCCTAGAAATAATTAACTCTGTGGCACTTGAGGTCTGCTCAAGGCACATTCCATTAAGAAAAAGAAAGTAAAGATGTTAACTAGAAACAGAGAGATACTCTCTATACAGACGAAGGCACAGAATCACAGCTGCTGAGAGAGGCCAGTATATCTTAAATGTGAAGCGAGGCACTGGTAAGAGAAATAGCAAATATCGAACTTAAGCTTGAGGAATTTACGAGACAAAAATCTCAGGAAGAACTTAAAGCCATCAATGAAACTGAAATAAACCCAAGATACTTCTTCTTTTATGCCAAATCTAAGGGAAAAACAACATTCAGTATTGGACCCCTGCAAAGACGAGATGGAACCTACACAGATGACAGCAAAGAAATGAGTGAGATACTAAAGTCCCTGTATGATTCATTGTTCAATAAGCCATTAACCAGACTATGGGTTGACAATCTGAATTAGTTGTTTTTATGACCAAGACTCAAAATTTTGTCTTTTCAAAAATCTTTGATATTATCCTACACCACAAGACTTCGAAAAGGCAATAATGACATGCCCATGCACTCTGCCCAAAGCCCGGACTCATAGAACTACGTGTTCATCAAGAACTGCAAGAAGCCCCTGTCACGTGCTTTCAGCATTCTGTGGAGAAGAAGTATGGACACAGAGTTCATCCAACACTCACTATAAACAACAGACATAGTCCCACTCTACAAAGGTGACGGTAAAGCAATTGCGAACAATTACTGACCGATAGCACTAACATCCCATATCATAAAAATCTTTGAAAGAGTTCTAAGAAGCAAGATCGCCAACCACCTAGACACCCATCAGTTACACAACCCAGGACAACACGGTTTTAGGAGCAGCTAGCTCTGCCTGTCCCAGCTACTGGACCACTATGACAAAGTCCTGGATTCTGCTTGATAAAGGGGATAAACAAAATGCAGATGTAGAATATAGACTTTGCTAAAGCCTTCATCAAGTGCGACCACCATGTAATGGCGCAAAAATGCGTGATGAAGGAATAGCAGGAAAATTTTATAGATGGATCAATAACTTTCTGACAAATTGAACACAAAGAGTAATAGTAAATAGAGTAAAATCTGAAGCAGCTACAGTGAAAAGATCTATTCCACAAGGCACAGTACTCTCTCCCATCCTATTCCTCATCCTCATATCTGACACCCGAATTGACATGACAGTGTCCTCCATCGAGAACACCGGAAGACTCCAAGCAGATATCAACCATATCAATAAGTGGGCAGCTGGAAACGATACGACGTTCAATGAACCGAAATTTCAACTACTCACATATAGAAAACCTGAGGAAATTAAAACTTTATCAGGATATAAATTAAATTCTAACTAAACCCAATGACCCATTAAAACGTTGAAGATTTAATAAAAAACTCAAAGGGTCCCTCAACCTACTTTCACATGTCACTCTCATGAAAAAAACCGATGTAATGTACTTCAAACCCCCAAACACCAATTCATAATTCCCTAAATGCTTGTTTCTCTTTAAAAAATGCTGGAAACTTTATTATTACCTAAAACGCACATGCATTAATCCCTAACCGGGAAAGAATTTATATAAAATTTTACCCCCCCAACATTAAGTAATTAAAAATACCTAAAACTGGAAATTTTAAACCTAAATTTGAACCCTTTATAACCAAAAATTGATTTATCTCTTTAAAACCTGGGAACCCTTAATTACCAAACTTGACAAAAACCCCTCTTCCCCCAAAAGCAAAGACTCCAAATCACCTCAAAAAGCTGGGCCTCCACAAAAACACGAAGAAAACCCCCAAACCCGTAATGTCAAACCCCAAACTGCCACTTTCCTCCTTCTTTTCAAACGGTTTACCTAAACCCCGGCTGTTCTTCCCTCAAAGTTTGACAGGTATTTTAAAATCAGTCTGACGCATTTATCACTCATTTTGCGTCCCCAAATTCCCCCAAAACTGGTGTCCCTCTTAACCAAAAAAACGGGCATTTCAATCCCCCCTGGACGTTATCCCCCCAAACCCTCAGTATCTCATTACCCAACCTTGAAAAAGCATTAAAAAATAACACCCTTTTTTCACCCTTCCCCTAAATAAACCCCAATTTTCCCCTTTCAACACTTAAGCTTTTTCATAAATCTGACAGCCTTCCCCCTGGCTTCTGTCACCCTTAAAAATTAAATTATTAAACTTTAATTTGTTTTCCCCCCCCCCCCCCCCCCCCCCCTTTCCCTTTCCATTGCATGTCCTTTTTCCCTAAAAACTGGGGACTTCACTCATATACCTCAACACTGTGACATGTCACTTCATTCCCTCAACACTCTGCATTCACTCTCTTACACTCAAAACTGCTGACATGTCCTTTTCATACCCCCTCAACACTGCTGACAGTCACCTCATATCACCCAAAACTGCTGACGTACTTCATACACCTCAAACGCTGCATGTCAACCTCATATCCCCTAAACTGTGACATGTCACTCTCTTTCACCTAACATGTGACATGCCCTCTCATATCCCCTAAATGCTGACGAAACCTCATATCACCCAAAACTGTGACTTGTCACTCTCATATCCCTAAAAATGCTGACTGTCCTTCATTCACCCAACACTGCGACATGTCACTTCATATCCCTTTAAAACACTGCTGACATGTCACTCCTTATCCCCTCAAACGCGAATGTCACTCTAATCCTCAACCTGCTGACATTTCACTTAAATTATAAACCCGCTCCAAAACTTGCTAAATGTCATCTCATATAAACTAAACCCTGTGACATGCATCTCATTACCTCAACGTGGACATGCACCTCATATCACCTCAAAAGCTGACTGTCACTCCTTTCACCTCAAAACTGCTGACATTCACTCTCATATCACCTCAACATGGACTGCACTTCATTCCCTAAAACCTGTGACATGTCACTCTCTATCACCTCAACCTGTGACAGTCCTTAAATTTCATTAACACTGCTGAATTTCCTCTCATATCCCCTCAACACTGCTGACATGCCACTTTATCCCCTCAACACGCTGACTGTCACTTAATTCCCCTCAACGCTGCTGACTGTCACTTCATTCACCTCAACGTGCTGCCCATGTCACTCTCATATCCCCTCAAAACTGCTGAATTCCTCTCATTCACCTCAAAATTTCTGACATGTCCTTTCAATCCCTCAACACGCTGACGTGTACTTCTATCCCCCTCAAAAATGCGACATGTCCTCTCATATCACTCAAACACTGCTGAATTCACTCTCATATAAACCCAACCTGCTGACAACTCCAATCACTCAAAAAATGCTGCATGCACTCTCATATACTCAACCGCTGACATTCACTCTTATCACTAAAACGCGCTGAATGTCCCCCTTCATATCAAAAAATGCTACATTCACTCTCTATCACCCAAAACTGCTGACATGCACTCTATCACCTCAAAATGCTGAGTCACTCCTATACCTCAACACTGCTGACTGTCCTTCATATACCTCAACATGCTGACATGTCATCTATATCATAACACTGTGACATTTCACTCTCTTCACCTCAACATGTTGACAGCCACTTATTCACCTCAAACGCGCTGTCACCTATTACCTCAACACTTGACTGTCACCTCATATCCCTAAACCCGCTGACAGGTAAAATTTATCACCTCAAATGCTGCATGTCACTTTATCCCCTCAACACTGTGACACCACTTCATACACCTAAAAAACTGCTGACATGTCCCTCCATATACTCAACATTTTCTGACATGTCACTCTCATTCCCCCCTCAACATTTTTCCCTTTGACATGTCCTCTATATACCTAAACCTGCTGACATGTCACTTCAATCACCTAAACCCTGGACATGTCCTCTATTCACCTAAAAAAGCTGAATTTCACTCCAAATCACCTCAACACTGCGGGAATGCCCTTATTCCCCTCAAACTGGCATGTCACTTCAAAATACCCAAAACTGCGAATGTCACCTCTATCCCCTCAACCTGCTGACATGCCCCTCTCTACCCCCTCAAAACTGCTGAATGTCCTTCATATCCCTAAACCTGCTGACATGTCACTTCATATACTCACCGTGACATGTCACTCTCAATCCCTAAAAAACGCTGACAATCACTCTCATATCCCTCAACCTGCTGACATGTCCTCCATATCCCCTCAAAATGCTGACATGTCACCTCATATCACCTCAACCTCCCTAACATTCACTCTTTTTCCCTCAACATGGCATGTCACTCTCATATCCCCCAACACTGCTGACATGTCCTCTATTTTCCCTAAACCCTGCTGCATGTTCCTCTCATATACCCAAACTGCGAATGCACTCTTATCACCTCAACCTGCTGAAAGTCACTCTCATTCACCTCAAAAACTGCTGACATGTCATTTCCATATCACCTCAACAGCTGCATGTCACTTCTATCCCCTCAAAACTGCTGACATGTACTCTATACCCCTCAACATGCTAAAATGCACTCCTTTCACCCAAACTGGACATGCACCCATATCCCTCAAACTGCTGACTGTCACTCTCTATCCCCTCAAAAATGCTGAAGGGCCTTTCCTATCACCTCAACCGCGCCCATGTC